CAACAGTGAAGTTCTCTGCTTAAATTTAGACCTTGCCTGTTCTGAGACTAAGAAGCTTTTCCAAAGTAATTAAATAAACTCATATGAGCTGGGAACAAAGGATGTTTATAAGATAGTTTCCTAGAGGTTATATTGTAAGGTCGGAGGGCATGCACTTTTAACATTTTATGTTATCAAATACCCTCCAAAAAATAAAAATAAACATACAAGCCTGCTACCAGCATATGAGGGTTCATTTTTGCTGCATCTTCAACAACATAGTTACTTATTTATAATCCAGAGAACATGAGTTATAAATAATCTGAAAATTATGTTATTTTTCATTTATGGTGTCTATAAATAGCTTTCAGAAATAGGTGCTTTTAGTGTTTTCCTTTTATTGCTTTCTTCAGCTATGGAATGTGCTATCAAGAAAAGACAATCCCTTATTATTATGACAGGTGTGAAATACCTTTTAAGTAATTTACTTTATCATTCATTGCCAAATACTTTTCTTGAATAATTCTTATATGACCAGTCAAGTTAGAATATTCACTTCAAAAGCTTGTTCTTTCAAGTTGGAGTTCAAGGGACAGCTATTGAACCTACCAACCTCTTTGCTGAAGTTTATATGTGATCGTTTTTGAAATACCCCTTAAGTTTTACTGAGCACCTGACACTGACTATAATGGTGATTGAACAATAATTCAAGGCATGGTAAAGGATACTTTGTTAATCCAAACAAATGTTAATGAAATCTGAGCTTTATTTATTGCTTGCTTGCAGGTGGATTCACCAATGAACTTGAAGCATCCCCATGACTTAGTCATATTAATGAGACAAGAAACAACAGTTAACTACCTCAAAGAATTGGAGGTGAGGCACCTGGGCATACAACATGCAGCTGAAACTTGTATTTCACAGGAGCTATTGTATTAAAAAAATTAAACTTTATTTCTTAAGCCTGATTCTTTGACTTTTACAGGAATTTACTACTTTTAAATCATGTTTTTAAAAATAACGTCTAATTAGAGTAACCTTTGAGCAATCAAAAGGGAAACAGACTACCCTAGCCTGGGCTTTACGCCTGATTCATGACTCACATCTCTTGAACAGAGTTTCCATGCAGAAGTTTTTCCATCAAGTATGAAGAGGAATAATCTCTGGGAATATTTTCGGAAGGAGAGTTTAGGTAAAATATGAACAGGAAGAATGGTTTTAACACCCTATAGAAATATAATTTTTGGTAATTCCCAAGTAGTGAAAATTAGGGTCTTGCTGTTGTGTTCTTATGATTAAGGTGAAAAGTGTTCATTACTTTGCACCTTGAAAACTTGAAATTTATTAGTGCTAATAAAATCTGACCTTTGTGTTTCTGTCATTAATGTTATTAACTGATTTTGCTTAATGGCAAACAATATTATTTATTTGAAAAACTAGGTTTTTTTCTCATAAAAATCTCTGCTTAAAAGTTACAGCGTAAACTGAATCAAAATTTTAAAGGAACTATAATTTGTAGAAAAAGTAGTCCAATTTGCAAAATCAAATTTAGAAAATTATTGGGAGTAATAAGAATAATAAGAGTCAGATCAGAGTCTTGAGAGCTTTGAAGCAATCATAACAATCATCCTCATTTTAGAGGCTAGGAAACAGACCCAAAGACAGTGAATTGCCTGATTTCATATAGCAAGTTAAGGCAGAACCAGAGGCAAACACCATTAAAAGCTGATATACCTATTAAACCAGGTAGCCATTCATTTTCTGATTATGTAAAAATCCGGAAATTCACTTGTATCAATTCAAACTAGTACATCTATCAACAGAAATAGTTACAATTACATACATTTTTAATTCCTGTGAATTTAAAAGAAGGAGCTTTTAGCGCATATTAACCAGCTCTGCGTAGGTAGTAGTACTGTTACAGTATTTATAAATCTCATCATTTTTTAAATAGTCTTGCACCTCTTCCTACCAGTTTTATCACTTATATATTTGGAAATGTTGATTTTTATGATACTAGGAATAAGACAATAAGTATAGGGCTTCATTTTTGAAAGCTTGATCTGTTTTTATTTAAGTACAGCGTTCAAAAGATGCAATGGTGCAGAAAATAGTTTTTATTTTCAAATGCACAGGCACATTGTGTATGTTTAATGCTATCCCTTTTTTAGGGAGCAGTGTGATATAATATAAAGAAGAGACTTAAATCAGAATGTATATGGGGGAGGAAAGCCATTTCCCAAGTCAGTGAAAATGCAAATGAAAAATATTGACTCCATCAATTTTTGGTTAAAATAGTGTAATGACTTTGTACTTAGTACACCCCTTCTGCTTGATATACACATTAATGATGTATAACATACAAAATCAAAATCAAATGTAACCAGGCCTAAAAGCAACATAAACATCTCCATGGACCAGAAATGGAACAGAAACACTAAGTTGAGAAAGTGCCTGAAGCTATAAACCCAGTGATCTTCAAGACCAGGACCAGGCTGTGATGTCTGGTAGTTTGGCTCTGGAATAAAGGGGAATGATAATATTCCGTAGAAGACCAAAAAAAGGAAGAGAACTGGGCTTACTGCTGAAGCCTGGGATTGAGCCATTCTGTTCATGAAAAGAATCGGGGGGGGGGGGGGGGGGGGCAGTGTGGAATCAATAAGACAAAACAAAACCTGATGACCTAAAAAGGAACTGAACCATCCAGTGGTTCAATAATTGCATATTCCATTTCCTGAATACCAGTTGAGGGCAGAATATTACTTTGGGGTAGAAACCCCAAACCAAACTTTTAATATCTATTTCTAGACTTGAGAACTGGATAGAACCTGGAAGCAACCACAAAACTGCTAGACACAGGAAATGATCATGGAATGGTTGGGAAGAGAGAGACAGACAAAGATGGAGAGGGCTGAAGGATGATTCCAGGGTTTTTGATCCAAGAGATTGAAAGGATGGAGTTGACATTAGCTGAGCTAGAGAAGACTAAAGGATGTGTAGGATTGGGGAGTTTATGGAAATCAATGATAGTGTGGCTTTGGATGTTGAGTTTGACGTACCTATTAGACATCGAAGTGGAGACATCAAGTAGGGGGGTTGGTTCTTCAGGTGTGGACTCGGGGGTAAAATTCTGGCTGGTAAATTTGTGAATCATTGACATGTAGACTTAAAGCCATGAGACTTGCTAATACAGCTTATTTACGCAGTAGTGACAACTAGATAGACTTCCTAGATATCAGAAGACAATGGAGGAATAACCCAAAGTACTAAGGGAAAAGCAGTCAAACTAGAATTTTATATTTTTTTTAAACCATCATTCAAGAGTGAGGGCAAAGCAAAGATATTTTCTGACCTACAAAGACAGAGTTTGCTAACCACAGACTCACTTAAAAAAAAAATTAATGTATGTTTGCAAGAAGAAAAGTGAGCCCAGTGACAGCTGTATAGAATGTATAATGGTGAGTAAAAACATTGATGAAAACGTTACTAAAGTTGTTCAACTATTTATTTTTTGTGTTTTAAAAGGTAAAACTAGATAAAATTAACAATATGAGGTTGGGTTGAAGCATGAGCAGTAATTAAACTGATCGTGTTAGACTCTTTTGTCATATTCAGGTGAAGGTAAAAGTAACTATTAATTAAAATCCTGTTGAAATATTTATGGGCAAACATTAAAAATTTAGTATTGCCAAAAGAAATATGAATCTAGTCAAACCACAATATAATTTGTTTTTCAATATAACTGGTTTCCACTATCATTTTAATATTTAATTTTTGTTTTAAAAGATTATTCTTAAAAGAAGTCTGTAGGCTTCATTAGATTGCCGAAGAAGTCCATGACACAAAAAAATGTAAGAACTTCTAGATCCTCCTATCAATATTCAGGAAATACAGAGGATACAGGAACGTGTTAAACGAAGCTGGGAAATAGTCAGCAAAATCCCAGTTTCTTTAACAAATAAAAGTTTTTTTTAAAAGGAACTAGAGCAATAACCAGTAGATTAAAAAAAAATTTAAGAGACAAATTAACCAGTTGTAGTGTGTGCTGACCTTGTTGGATTTTGATTCAAACAAACTGTATTTTAAAGAGAGGGGACAAAACTATTGGGAATTTGAACACAGACTAGATATTTGATATTAAGGAATTCATATTTTTTTAGATGTGATAATGGTGGTGGTGTATTTTTTTTTTAAAGAGTACTTTTCAGAAACTGAAATATTTCCTATGAAAAATTTAACCAAAAATATAGTAAGGGCAAGCACTAAAATAACAGAAAGGCAATCTATAGTTTCAAACCTACAGATTAAGATACAGGAGGAGGGGAGGGAACGTAGAAAATGTTATCACGCACATGACAGGCAAGAAAAGAGAAAAAGGCAACAAAGTAAAAGAATGATACACCCAAAATAATATGGGTGCAATAAATCAAAATAGATCAGCATTACAATAAATTAAACTTACTGGTTACAACTGAGACTGTCAGATTGGATTTCTTATTTAGACCAGCTATATGGTACATTTAAGAAATATGACTTAAATAACACAGAAAGCATAAACATTAAGAAAACAGTTGATACAGTTGACCATTTTAATTAAAAGCTTCTCTTTAGCTAATGACAGCATGAGCAAAATTAAAAGATAAGCTACAAGCTGGGAGAAGATATTTGTAATGCATATAACTGATAGCAAATGAAGTCACACAATTACTCTTTTTCATAAATTTCTACAAATTGAGTTTTTAACAACCTGGAAAAAATGGGCAGACTTGAACAGTCAATTCACAAAAATATCTCATAGAGCCACCCGAGTGGCTCTGTTGGTTAAGAGCTCGCTCAAGAGTTTGAGCTCTGAGCAACAGCAATACGATTCCCAGCCCGAGTTGAGCAGCCGCTGAGCTGCCAACAGGTAGCAGGATGGCTCAGCTTAAAAAAAAAAAAATTATCTCATAAATATATTGAAAATATATTCAATTTTATTAATGATTGATTAGTTAATATAGTCTACATTTTGTTACAGATAGTCAACTTTTGCCTTGGCAACAGACAACCCAAAATCTCAGTGCTATTCTCATGAAAGAAGGTGGAGGCTTGAAGAAAAACAGCCAAACAATATAAGCCTGTTTGACATTAACATACATCATCTCTACTCACACTCCTTTGGCCAAAGCAGCTCACATGGCCCAGCCTGGAGTCAGCAGGAGCAGTAAAGTCTAGTTTACCTACAGAAAAAGAGGGAGGATGGAACAAGTAATTGTAAACATCACTTAGTGACACCCTAATAATCTTAATGGCTGAAAACAATAAGGCGATACTAAATGTCACTCGGATCCTTATGCCAGGACCCAGGCTGACAGACTGACTGACTGGAATATTGCCATTCTTAGTACCTCAGGGAGAAGAAAGAACGTGGTGAAGCATACACTGGCTCTAAAAATGCTTCCCTCTCCAAGGGTCAAATGGCACTTCTCACGTTCCACTGGCCAAAGCAAGTCCTATTGGCCACCTTTGAGTCCAGCACAACAGTGATGTGCATTCCTCTTAAAGGAGGGGCAGCCAAATCGTTAATAGCAATATGGTCTATGGCGATAATACAGTCTCCCCCGATAACTGTAACAAGATAACATTCCATGCCCATTGAATTGGCATAAATAAAAAAGTGATAAAACCAAATGTTGGTAAGTTTGAGGGGATGTGGGTATTATCATAATCTGTTGGTAGGATTCTGATTGTTCCAACCACTTTGAAGAGTTAATTGACAGTGTCTAAATAAAACTGAAACGTGCCATCTTATGTGACTCCAAAGTTTTACCCCTGCTGGAACTTTCACACGTGTGCACAGGGAGACTTTTATAAGGACATCATAGCATTTTTAATAGCAAAAAAACTTAAGCGAAGCAACCTAAATGTTTACAGGAAGATGGATACCATAATACATTTTTATGTTTCATTAAAGTGAATTTAGAGTTGTACTGATCAATGTAGTAAATCTCAAAAACATAATTTTTTTTTAAAGATTTTTTTTTTTAATTGGGAAATTGAGGGAGGGGAACAGCGCTGGGGAATCGGGAGAAGGGGAACAGAAAAGTTGCTGTCGTTTTGTTCTTCAGTCTAGTTGTGGAAGATGTTGCTTCACTGGCCCAAGTTGGCACCATCATTGCACTCTTCCCGGGCGAGGCAGATCAGTCGCCGGCTTCTGGATGGCCGCTCACGGCGGTTGCTGGCCGCTCACGCTGGCTGCCGGCTACACATTGTAGCTTATGGCAACCCACTGCCGCAGGGAGCTGCAGCCTACGCCGTCGCCGGCGACTCATGGCAGCCCAGCTCCAGGTTGAGCTGTTGTTCAGCATCTTAGCTGTAGAGGGCAGTGTCACTGACCCTCATATGTGGGATCCGAACCGGGGCCCTCTGGAGTCCCAAGCCAGCTCTTAACGAACACGCCACTCAGCTGGCCCCATAATATTTTTTAAAAGTTGTAGAATAATACAGTATGATATTTATATAAAAATTTTAACTTATAAAATAATGCTATATGTTGATTTGGGATGCATATATATGTATTATGGGTAATATATAGTAGAAGAGAATAGGGAAATATAGTAATATTTTATCAAAATATACATGGAAATGATACCTTAAACAAATTCGGGATAGTGGTAACTTTGGGAAGAGAGAAGGAGTTCCAAAGCAGGAAAAAGGGGCTTCAACTACTTTATTTTTCTTAAAAAAAAAAAAACCAATCTGAAGTGACTATGGCAAAATGTTATATGACAGATACGGGTGGTAGAAACGTGGGTCTTTATGTAATTCCTCTGTATGCTTGAAAAAAAAAAAATTAGGAGTGGTAGGAATTCACCAGGAACACAGGGCATTAGAGGAAGCTCTTCCAGCTAGCAGTATCAACATGCCCTGTGTCTTAAAGGACTGAAATATGACGTGTTTAGCCAGTTTAAGGTACGGCAGTTCTACCTGTTGAGCCATTCTGGTCCAGGGAAATGAAGCTGACTGCTGCAGCTTTGTAGGTAGTCAGAGATCATATTATGAAAGCACTCGAGCGCCACTATTATAACGTTGTTACTTTCTGTGTGTGGACACCTGTTTCGAGAAGCTTATTTATGTCAGTTAAGTAACTGAGGGCATATTCCGAATCCTCGGCTTCCCACAGAGGATTCTCTGACTTCTTCAACACGTTCAATTCTCTTTTCTCTTACAGGGTGTCTAGACTGAAATATTTGAAAAACCTATTGTGTTCTTATTGTCTTCTCAACAGAAGCAATTAGTTGCTCAAAAAATCCACATAGAAGAGAACGAGGACAGAGACACAGGACTGGAACAAAGACACAATAAAGAGGATCCGGACTGCATCAAAGCCAAGGTGCCCTTGGGGGACCTGGACCTGTATGATGGCACATACATAACTTTGGAGAGCAAAGACATCAGGTAAAAAGATGACCTTCCCTTCCCTCCCACCCCCCAAAATTACATTTTCCTGATCAGACCTTTCTCAAAGTAGTCAGAATTATTTCTCTAATGAGAATAAGCTTCAATCACAGATGAGTTTATTGAAATTTGAAAGTTCAAAGTACATACAGAATTCTTACAAATCAATTAAAAGTATTTAATACCACAACAGAATATTGAATAAGGTATAGTAAAAGAAATACAAATGGCTAATAAACATGTGGAAAACATACTTCTCAGTAATGACCAGGTAAGTACAAATGAAAACTTAGTTTTCATCTATAAAATTGAAAAACATATTTAAAAATCAGTAACCAGTAGAAATGTAGACAGGTTGTCAACAGAAGTATAAATTTAACATTTCTAGAAATAATTTAGCCATGTTCTATTAGCTTTTAAATGTCCCTGGTCTTAACATTCTGTAACCAACCTATTTTTTCTGTCACTCTTGATTTATGTTGAACTCCCAAAATATTTGACTCTAACAACAGCTCTGTGAAAAAAGGTATGAATGTTGACTAATATTGGTTGCAAAGCTGAGATATTTTGAGAATATGGTTCAGTTAGGGAAAAATTAGATATTTTTTTCACCATTCGTTCATTCATTGCTTCTTGCTTCTTGATTTTAGCCCAGAAGATTATATAGACACAGAGTCTGCTGTCCCTCCAGACCCTGAGCAACCTGATTGCACTAAAATTCTAGAACTTCCCTATAGTATACATGCTTTCCAGCACTTGCGAGTAAGTAGAGAGATTTGGGTGTTGGGACTTTTGTTTTTGCATTTTTTAAAAATTTAGTCCCTTATAAATAACTCTTTTTTCTTTCTTCTTCCAGACAGCTTTATAATTTTACAAATATCTTGTATTTCTTAAGATTCTGGGAAAATAAATGCTATGAGATACCAAATTACTTGTGATCTTTTTATAAATCCCCTTTTTCTGTCTATTTTTCAATTTTTTCATTTTTCTCTTCAGGGTGTACAAGAGAGAGTTAATCTTTCTGCACCTCTACTACCTAAAGAAGATCCAGTCTTCACATATTTATCTAAACGATTAGGAAGGAATATAGACGACATAGGTCACCTCATCCATGAAGGCCTACAGAAGGTAAGTCACCAGTGACTTGAAGAGCCAGGAGACTGTGTGAACAGGAGATATTTTTCTCTCAGAAATTACCTGCTTAGCTTGTTTCTGTCTAGAGAGTGATTTTAAATCATGATTACATTAACGTAAACTGTATAGTTCAAAGCTAGGGAGAAACACTGGTAGTCCAGTCCGCTTACCCAGGAAGGGATGCTGAAAAGTTTTACTTAAATTAATGAGAAAACAAATTCCAAACTAATATAAGCAACAGAGCGTATAGGCTAGATGATATATTTTGAGTGTGAAAGGAAAGTTAACGTCAGTGTCTTTGCTGTATATACACATAATACATAAGATTATCACCATTCCCTAAACAAGAAAAAGAATCACCACCACCAATAAAATCTTGTAATTTTCTTTGAGGGAATATCTACTTTAAAAAACTGAAATAGGGAATAATGCAACAGGACGCAAGAATTTAAATGTATCATTCAGGATAACGGAATTAGAGAAGGCTTTTGCTCTTCTCTGTGCCTGAGGGGCATCATACAATGTAGGCTAGTTTCTAAGCAGTGTTACAGTGTACTAAGGAAAATGTATAATTGCAGCATTTATATACATACAGTTTATTGAAATACATTATACATTTTATATAAATATATGATTATATGTGTAGCTAAGTTACCATCTTCATCTTGTTTTTCTGAAGGTAATGTAAAACATTGCATTCCCTGAAGTTGATGAGTAATAAGGGGAAACTGGCCTAGGATTTAAAATACCCTTCAGTAGTTCAAGAGAACGATGAAGATGGTTTGGACTAGAATGGTTAGTATTGGAAATGGAGGGACTTAAACTATTTCAGGAAATATTTAGAAGCTTAGAAGCCTATGAATTGGTTATGAGATATGGGGACTGAGGGAAAAAGAGGAATCAAGGATAATTCCTCAGTTTTTGGCTTAAGCAACTTAAAGGAGGAGCCGGACTGGGGTGGGAGAAGAGAAGATGGAGTTCTGTGTTGGCCACGTTACATTTGAAATCCCTGTATGAGTCTGGAATTCCAGGAAGGGTCAGAGCTGGGTGTATGGATAGAGAATAGTTATTAAGTAGGGAATATTTACAGCCATGGGACTGGATAAGGTCACCTGGAGGAGAGGGCAGTATGAGACGAGGCCACTGAGTCCTGGGTCCTCCCATATGTGGCTGTCACACGGGCGAAAGGCCAGCAAGAGAACAAAAGGGCGTCCAGAAGAGCGTGGTGTCCTAAGAGCCAAGGGGGAACAGTGCACCAAAGGAGGCGGGAGTAATTAACAGTGACATTCGAATGTTTATACATTTGGGGGCGATTTTATGAAAAATCTGCCAGAAAGATTTTTCTCTAGAGATTAACTTTTCTAATATAGTGTGATGTGTAGAGTAGCCTGCTCAACCTGATGTTTTCAGTAGTTCACGTAGACTTTTAATTCATCTTTTTGTTCCAATTCATAGTACAAAGTCTGAAAATAAGAGATAAAAATGAAAGCATTTGTTGATTTGAAGGAAAACTTTCTCAAAAGGCTATCAAAAAGGAGACGGAATCCCAAGCCCTAAGTCATTTGTGAAAGAACGTAGTATTTCTTAACCAGCTACACATAGTGCTAAAATCTTTAATTACATTACTCAAAAATCATCTACTTTCCTT